ACTCGACAGCACATAACAACAACAACATTCAATAATGTACTGGAAGACTTAATGATAGCAATAAGGCAAGAGAAGGAAATAAGTGGTGTTCATATTGGCAAAGAGGAAGTAAAATTAGCTCTATATGCCAATGATACGGTAGTATACTTAAAAAACCCTAAAGACTCAGCAAAAAAAAAAACCCCACTGGACCTAGTTGACCAATTCAGCAAAGTGGCAGGATACTAGATTAACATACAAAAATCAATTGGATTTCTCCACAGTGACAGAGAACATAAAACTGGAGCTAAGAAAAGCAATACCCTTCACAATAGCTAATCATAAGATTAAATACTTGGGAGTAAACCTAACCAAAAGTACAAAAGATCTATTCAAAGAAAATTACAAAACATTACTACAAGAAACAAAAATAGATCTGCAGAAGTGGAAGAATATTCTTGCTCATGGATAGGAAGACTCAATATTGTGAAAATGACAATACTACCAAAGGTAATTTGCACATTTAATGCAATCCCAATACAAATACCAATCCCATTCTTCAACGAGATGGATAAGGCAATCTCCAGTTTCATTTGGAATGGAAAGAGGTCCCGAATAAGCAAAGCACTCCTTAAAAGGAAAAACAAGGTAGAAGGCATCTCACTCCCTGATTTCAAATAATACTACACTGTCGTAGTGGTCCAGACAGTGTGGTACCAGTACAACGACAGATACATAGATCAATGAAATAGAATTGAGAATCCAGAAATCAGCCTGTAAACCTACGGCCAACTGATTTTTTACAAAGAGATAAAATCAGTTAAGTGGTGAAATGACAGCCTTTTTAACAAATAGTACTGGCAAAATTAGAAAACTATCTGTAGAAAACTCAAACAAGATCCACACCTCATTCCATATACAAAAAACAACTCAAGGTGGATCATGGACCTAGGACTAAAACCAAGGACTATAAACTTCATTCAAGAAAAGCTTGGAAGAACTTTAGTGGTCTTAATCCACAACATAAAAAGTCTTCCAAGTATTCTGAAAAATCTACAACCAGGAGAAGATAAAATAGATGAATGTGACCGTCTAAGAATCAAATCCCTATGCACATCCAAAAACTTTTCCAACAGAGTAAAAAGGGAAGCCACACACTCGGGGGGTGGGGGGGGTGGGGATTTGGTAATGACATGCCAGATAAGGGGCTTATATCTAGAATTTATAAAATACCCAAGCGCCACAAAAAGATAAAGGTAAACAACCCAATTGAAAAATGGGCACAGGATATGAACAGACAACTTCACCAAAGAAGAAATTCAGATGGCCAACAAACACATGAAAAAATGTTCAAAAACCCTAGCTCTAAGAGAGAGGCAAATCAAAACAACTATGAGATATCATAAAACCAGCAAAATTTAACAGAACAGCAAACATCAAATTCTGGCGAGGTGCGGAGAAACTAGAATCCTTATTCACTGTTAGTGGGAGTGTAAAATAGTGCAACCACTATGGAAGGCAGTATGGCGCTTTCTCAAAAAGTTGCACATAGAAATACCATTTGATCCAGCAATTCCACTACTGGGAATATACCCTAAAGATACCATAATCACCATCCAAGCAGATACATGCACACCCATGTTTATTGCGGCTTTGTTCACAATAGTAAAGAGTTAGAAACAACCCAAGTGCTCATCAATAAATGAATGGTTAGAGAAGCTCTGGTATATTCACACAATGGAATACTATGCTGCATTGAAAACCAAGGAACTCATGCAATATTATACAAAATGGGTGACCCTGGAGGACATTAGGCTGAGTGAAATATCTCAGTCACAAAAGGACAAATACTGCACAGTGCCACTGTTGTTAAACGGGACTGACATCAGCATTGAGGGGAGACTGAGAAAGAAGGGATAAATAATGTATACTTCATTGAAACAGATGAGAGAACTGTTTAAAAAGGATATATGATTAGGTATTATTGTCATGATGAGAGTGTCCAGAATGAAGGTTGCGTAGTGGAGTGGAATTTGGGGGATGGATTGTACAACAATGAAATAGTGTTTCTTTTACTTTTCAAAGAGAAGAGTGAACTGGAGGGAGAGGTGGGGAGGTAGAAAAGTGCAAAAATGAATGAATGGAAATCCAAATTCTCTGTAAACTTTCATTAAAATTAATTTTAAAAAATTGACGTTAAAATCAAAGATTGTGGAGAAATGGAAATTTCATAAAAGTTTACCTGTTTTTGCTGAAGCAACCTGAAAGATAAAGTCGAAAAAATTAGAATCACAAAGAACAACATTGTTTTTTAAAATAGAAATAATAATCAGAGCAGTAATAAATTAATCACTGCATTCTTATGCATAGTATTAACAGTCTCTCAATCCTTACAGAGTATTTATCTGTGCAAATCATGTCTCAACACTCAGGTCTATCAAAAGGCAATCCTAAACAGAATTCAGAGACTGGAAGCAGCTCACATTACTATTTCATTTTTCTCTCTGAATCTGCCTATTGAACGAAGTCAGGGACTGCTGATGGATTTCTCAGAAATCTTTGTTCGTAAAACATAACAATAATCTTATTTTCTTTTTCTAGCCACTGCATTAAATTTCAAAAACACAAACATACACAATCTTAGCATTGTTCGTAAGTATTTAGATTTCTACCTCCCCCTTCCCGCTCTTCAAAAAAAGAGATTGTTAAAAGATGTATTTTTTTCCTAAATTGCAAGTGACTTGGGGATAGTAAACTCACCATTTTAAGACAGATAAGACATGACCCAATCAAAGGCAGATATTTCTTTAATCCACCAGCCATCTTGTTGGCTATACCACTCACTTGGCACTGAACGAAGTGGTCAGGGTCTTCTATGGGGCCCAGCAGGCAGCACCATTAGTCGGTCACTGGGATGTGGGGCCCAGATCCTGGGAACAGAGAAGTAGCTCCTCCCTTTCAGTGTGGAGCTGATTGTTAACTAGAGGCACCTGGACATTGGCAGGGGCAGGCTTGCAAAGACTGAAAACAAGAATTGAAGAAAGACACGAACAAGCGGGCCAAGAAGGTACGATAACCTAGGTTACAAGATAGAACGTGAAATGCTTCTTTTTCATTTTTTATTTTTTTAAAAGAACAATTTCACAAAGCTTTACAGAAAATTATCGATACAGTGGGATGATAATTTTTAATTCAAGGATCCTGGCTCGTGGGTTTTTGTTTTCTACTTGTTTGGTTTTTGTCTTCAATGGTGAGTGATTTTATTTTATTTTATTGATCTGTCTTAATGCCAATACCACCATGTGTCATTCAATATCTCTCTTTCTCTCACGGTTGTTGAGTCTGAACTGATTCACAACTGATCCTCCACTGTGTTTTCAAGGTTGTGAATTGCATGAGAAGATGTTGTCCATCTTTTTCTCTCAGGGCCGGTGGTAGAGTCAAACTCCCAGAGAACCCGAGGCTTTGGGGTTAGCAGCACAGCTTCTGGACTGTGCTACCAAAGCTCCTTTTGGAGCCAAACAGAAAGTTCAAAGATGGACTCAGATGTATACAGAAGATGTTTCAAAGAAATGCAAAAGCAATTAAGCGTAGAACAGATAGCACTTAGTAGCTAGTGTTGAAACAATTTGATAACCATATGCAAAAACATGTGAATTTTTATCTGCACCTCATTCCATAGACAAAAAATTAACTTAAAATGGATCATAAACTAAACTTAATGGATCATAAACTTAAAACTATAAAATTTCTAGAAAAAAAGTTTTTATTTTATATTGGTTTGCTTACAAAGTTCATAAACCTTGTGTTTTACACTATCCTTCATTCACATTGTGTTTCCTACAATCATTCCCATTCATTATATTTTATAAAATTAATCACCATTACCCTGTCTTTCCAGATCCCCACCAGATCTTTCCCATTTCCTTTACTCACACCCCTCTCCACCCACCAAGTTTTGTGACCCTGTGATTCCTCCCCACCCATCATCACCCCTCTGCTTCCATCCTCCCTGGGTACTTCCATCCTCCTTGGATACTCATACATGTTTTACTAGTTATCTTTATATTTTTACAATAATGAATGGTTTTATGCAGTATTTGTCCTTATGAGTTAGTTAACTCAGTATAATGCTCTCCAATTACTCCCAAGTTACGTAGTAATTTTCAAAATCATTGCTCCTGAGTGCTGTGTAGTATTGTATAGTGTGAATGTACCACAATTTCTCAATCCATTTGATTGTGGTTGGACATTTGGGGTGCTTCCATGTTCTTGTGATAGTGAATAACTCTGCTATGAACATCGGTGTACAAATTTGTTTGTCTCTCAGTTCTAACATTCTCAGAGTATATTCCAAACAGTGGAGTGGGTCATATGAAATTTATATTTTAAGATTTTTTCCTTTTTAAGAATATTTTATGCTGATTTACATACAAAGCTCATAAAGTTCATATACATTGTCATACACATCAGATCTTTCCCCTTTCCTTTACCCACTCCTCTTTCCACCCATGAAATTGTGTGAACCTATGATTAAGCCCCCCACAACATGGATCCTCGTATTCATTCTGCAATAATGGACTTATACAGTATTTGTCCTTATTAGACTGAGTTAGTTCACTCAGCATAATGCTCTCCAGTCCCTCCCATGTTAGGTAGAGATTTACAAAAACTTTACTCCTGCATGCTGCATAGCATTCCATTGTGTGTATGTAACATTATTCTCAATCCATTCCGTTGTGTTTGGGCATTTAGGCTGTTTTCATAGTCTTGCTATGGTGAACAATGCTGCTATGAACATTGATGTACAAGTCCTCTGTGCCTCAGTTCTCATTTTCTCAGGGTATATTCCAAACAGTGAAATAGGTGGGTCATATGGAATTTCTATGTTGTGCTTTTTGAGGAAATGCCAAACTGCCTTCCAGAGTGGTTGTACCATTATACAATCCCACCAACAATATATGAGTTCCTTTCTCACAATATCATCTCCAACATTTATTATTTGCTGTCCTGCTAAACTTGACCACTGCTCCTGGAGTAAGATGGTTTCTCATTGTGGTTTTGATTTGCATCTTTCTTATTGCAGTGATTTGGCACATTACTTCATGTGACTATTGGCCATCTAAATGTCCTCCTCTGTGAAAAGTCTTTCCATGTCTTTTGCCCATTTTGTAATTGAGTTATCAGTCTTTTACTTTTGGAGTCCCTGTAGGATTCTGTAAACTTTTGTGATGAATGCCCTTGTCTGAGATGGCATTGCTAAATGTTCCCAGTCAGTACATTTTCATTTTACCATGTTAAAAAAGCTTTTGATGAGCACAGAGATTTAATCTTTAGGAGGTCCCATTCACCAATTTTATCCTCTTCAAACTGTGCATTTCAGGCTGTATTTGACAGTCCCTTATACTGTAGAGTAGGCCTTCTAAGGTTGGTCCCAGTTTGTCTCTTATGAGCTTTATGGTTTTGGAATTTATTCTGAGGTCTCTGATCCACCTTGAGTTGATTTCTGTGTATGGTGTGAGATGTGGATCTTGTTTCTGCTTTCTGCAGGTAGCAGTCGAGTTCTGCCTGCACTATGTGTTAAAGAGGTTGTCATTTCCCCACTTGACAGGTTTTATTTTCTTGTCGAATATCAGTTGACCATAGATAGACAGGTTCATTTCTGGGTTCTCAATTCTGTTCCACTGATCTATGTGCCTGTCATTGTACTAGTACCATATTATTTTGGTTACTACTGCTGTAAGTAGGTGGTTTTGAGGTCAGGGAGTGCTATGCCTCTCACTTCATTTGTTTTTCAGAAGTACTTTGCTTAGTCAGAGTCTCTTTCCTCTCTAAATAGATGAGACAATTTCTCTTTTGATCTACTTGAGAAAAATGAATTTGGTATCTATATTGGGATTGTGTTGAGCATGTAGATTGCTTTTGGTAGAATTATTATTTTCACAATCTTGAGTCTTCCTATCCATGAACAGGGAACATTTTTCCATTTCTTTAGGTCTTTTATTATGTCCTGCAGAAATGTTCTGTAGTTTTCTTTGTATATGTCTTTTGTGTCTCTAGTTATATTCACTCCCAAGTACCTCAATTTGTGCTTGGCTATTGTAAACGATATTGCTTTCTTGGTTTTCTTCTCTAAATCCTCTTTGTTATTGTAAAGGAATCCCACTGATTTTTTTATAAGGATTTTTTTAATCCTGCCATTCTACTAGATTGATCTACTAACTCTAACTGGGGTTTTCGGTTTTTTTGTTGTTGTTGTTGTTGTTGTTGAATCCTTGGGGTTTTCTATGTACACTATCATATCATCTGCATAGAACATCAGTTTAACTATCTCTTTGCCAATATGAATGCCTCTTATTTCTTTTTTTGTCGTATTGGTCTAGAAAGTACTTCTAATACAATATTGAATGGAAATGGTGACAATGAGCATCTTTGTCTGGCCCCTGTTCACAAAGAAAATGCTTTTATTCTTTCTCCATTAAGAATTATATTGGCTCTTGGTTTTGCATATGTACTTCTGACTATGTTGAGGAAATTCCCTTCTATTCCTATTTTTCAGAGTGTCTTAATCAGAAAACGGTGTAGGATTATGTCAAATGCCTTTTCTGCATCAGTTGCTAGGATCATATGGTTCTTATTTGTTTTGTTTATGTAATGAATTACATTGTTTTTCTTATGTTGAATCATCCTTGCATACCTGTTATTAATTCCACTTGGTCGTGATGAATTTTTTTTTTTGTACTTTTGATTCTATTGGCTAGGATTTTGTTAAGGATTTTTACATCTATATTCATGAGACATATTGGTCTGTAGTTTTCTTTCTTGAGAATATCTTTCCCTGTTTTGGTATTGGGGTTATTATACTTTATTCATAGAATGTCTCTGGGAGTGGTCCTTCTTTTCCTATTTTTTAAAATAAGTAGAATTGGTGAAAAATCTCCTCAGAATGTTTGGCAGAATTCTGCTGTGGATCCATCTGTTCCAGGCTTTATTTTTATTTATTTATTTTTGTGTGTGTGTGTGTGTGTGTGTGTGTGTGTGTGTGGAGGAGTCTTCTGATGACCTGCCCAATTTCTTCTTTTGTGATGAGTTTGTTCAAGTATTCTACATCTGTACTTGTCAATCTGGGTTGGGCATGAGTTTCAAGGAATTTGTCCATTTCTTCTAGGTTTTCAAATTTATCAGAGTATAGCTTTTCATAATATTGTGATAAGGTAGTTTTAATTTCTTCTGTTGTGATGCCACTTCTATCATTCCTTAATTGAATTATTCTTCTCCTTTTTGTTAGGTTTGTCAATTGTTTGTCAATTATATTGGCCCCTTTTGAAAAACCAGCTCCTGGTTTTGTAAATAATTTTAATTGGTTTTCTGGTTTCTATCTCCTTGAATTCAGCTCTGTTTCTTATATTTTCCTTTCTTCTAGAGGCTGTTGGGTTGGATTGTTGTTCTTTTTCTATTTGATGAAGATGTTGAGTTAGGCCATTTGTTTTGCTTCTTCATTTTTTATGTGTTTGCCCATTGCTATGAGCCGCCCCCCTGAGTACTGCTTTAGCTGCATTCCAAAGGTTTTGATATGTTATATTATCATTATCATTTGTTTCTAGGAACTTTTTTTTATTTCATTCTTTTCTCTTCTATATCCCAATCATGTTCTGTTGTTGTTAAGTGCCGTCGAGTCGCAGGCGACTCATAGCGACCCTATGAAGGAGAGTCCTCGACGCTTGGGTGCCCTTCATCCTCTCTCCAGGTTCATAGGGTTTCCGGAGGCAAGCTATTATGGAAGTGGATGCCACTTCTCCTTCCAATCATGTTCTAGC